AGGTTTGGGCATGTACAGCAATAGATGGTGCTGGCATGCCCATATACCAGCCTGAGAACACAACACATAGAGGGGATATGAAGCATATGACCCTAAGGAGGGGTCAGGTTTGGGGTCATGCACAGCAATGTCTAATGCTGACATGCCCCCAAACCAACCAAGGAATACAAACACATAGGGGATATGGGGGTTTGGGGTTCATAAGTCATAATAAGTGACTGACAGAGTTCGTACATAAGAAAAGCAGTAATTCAGAAGAGAAAGGGGCAGATTACAGTATGCTCAGTAATGGAACTTGATTAAACACAAGCTGGAAACGGGCAAGAGTGAGGGAAATAGTAAGGAAACATGTTGTTGTTGATGCTGGAAAATTAATTAGAACATACCAGTAAAGAAGCAAAATGCAGAAAGAAAAGTAAGCAAATTCCCCACAGCCTAGCCTTGGCTTTCAGCCGGCTAGACAAGGCAGCAACACAAGTAGTAACAGAGAAAAGAGAGAGAGTTTTTAGTGAGGTGTGTGTTCTGAACTAAGTGTTTTGTTCCTTGTGTTCGTGTGTTTGAAAAAAGAGGGATGCAGGGTATTTATAGCCTTTTTGAAAACGAGTGAAGGAAGGTAATAAGTAAAGTTTTAATACAAATATAGAAACAATCTCCAGTCAGAATCAATTACCCAAGTGACTCCCTTTAATTAAGGAATCACTGTTTAACGGGTAGTAACAGATTCAAATAAGGAAAGAGATCAGTTTAGAGACAGACTGATTATTGTCATAAAAGGAGTAGTAAAAACATTAAGTAAGCAATCAAGTCTAAGTACAGAAATATGCTTATTTTGGAAATAGATTCAGCAAGGTAAATATTACAATAATGGGAAAAGAATCAATCAATTTTGAACGGGCGAGTGAAATCAGGGTTCATAAAAAGGGAAACTTTAGAAATCAGTCACAAGATGAAGATCAATCAAGGAAGAAACTTCAGCATATAAATAAAGTGAACAAGGTCATCAGACATGCGAGGCCAAGCACATTGGCAAAAGAGATAATCACAAGCATGCAGTAGTGGCAGAAATAAGCCAGGGTTCAGTAGTAAAGCAAACATTCGAAGCATAGTAATCAAGTAGGTCAAGTCACATTGAATCAATAATGCAGAAAATAGAGTATCAGAATCATGCAAAGGTCTCGCAGTAGCAGGTGAGGAAACCTTTTGAAAAGTTAGGGTTTCAGCCATAGTCGAGTTAAAAGATAGTAAAATCAAATAAGTCACATAATGAAAAGGAAGTCTAAAACAAAAGCTTTCAGTCGAGTCAAGTACTCAAACAAACGATTTCAGACCCAAAGACCTAGGGCTTTTCAACAACAATCGAGTTTTTTTAAAAATGATAACACAAATAAGCCAAACAAGAACGAGGAACTTAGTTAAACAGGTACACAATAAACAAACAGCTTCAGGATTCAAATGAGACCCAAAAGAAATTAGGGTTTTAACATGCTAACTCAGATAGAAGAATAATATGAACAAAACCATAACAAAATCAGAAATACGTTAAAATCAGAGGTCTTTGAAAAGAAAATTTAGAGGAAAAACCCTAATCGGAGAAGATGAAGGGTCGTTTTTGAAGGAAAGTTAAAGAACCTTCGAGAAACACTCGAGAAAGTCATAGCGAGTACAAATCTAAAGCAGATCTGAAAGAAATAGAAATATCTTAGCGATTAGCGTTTCAGAAAACCCAAAAGAAACGAGAAAGGCCTTGAAAGTTACCGATCTAACCAGGAGAGTCAAGGATCTGACTCAAATGGCCATGGCTGGCCGGAGAAAGGTCAGGGATGATCGGAGAAAGGTCAGGGATGACCGGAGAAAGATCATCGAGCAAGGACTGGACCAAATCCTTTCGAGGTCTGGTCATGAGACCATAGAATCAAACACATAGTAGCCATGGAAGGCTGGTACAGGCCTCAAATGACCACGGAAGGCTATAGATTAGGTAGGTATTAGGGTGGATTGGGGTGGCGGCGGCTAGGGTTTAGGTGGTGTTGCAGAGAGGGTTTGAGAGGAAAGGGGTTCAAGGGCGGCGGTAGGTGAGAAATGATAGGGTTTTGGGGTCGTTTGGGATTAATTAAGGTAAGGGGGGACGGGAGCCGTTGATCTAAATGATCAACGGCTGGGATTGAAATGGTTAGGTTGGAGACCGGGTTGGGTTGTTTAAACGGGTTAGGGGTCGGATTTAAAAGGAATTGGGCCAAGGGAAATTGGGGTCAATTTTGGGCTATAATTGAAATGTAACTGGGCTATCATTTAAATAGCCAATTTTCCCCTATTAAAATTATAAAAAATAGTAAACTGATTTCTGGAAATAAATTAAAAGTACTACAATGATTTATGACATATAATTAACCATTTAAAAATACTGGACTTAATCTTTATGAATATAAACGCAATTAAATCCTAAAAGAGGCTAATGTTGCAATTATACAATTTAGCCTTAAAAATACCAAATGATTTTGTAAAAAATATGCAAAAATTCCCTTAGCTATATCTTAGCATAAATGTAAAAGTTCAACAAGTGAATCACCAAAAATGATAATTTAAAAATAATTATTGGGTTTTTATGGATAAAAATAGGGAAATAAATTGATTTAAAAACCTTTAAAAATTAAGGAAAAATAATGAGACGCTTGGAAATACATTATATATGCATACATATAATATTTTGAGGGTACTTTGCACATTAAAATATATATATATATATATATATATATATATATATATATATATATATATATATATATATATATATATATATAGGTATATATAGGTTGGGTATCAACAACCATATCTGTGCTTTAGTCAATGGAGTTGATATTGTTTTGGATGCTGCTCTGCTTGGAGACATACTTAAGGTTCCCGCTGAAGGTATATCCTCTGTCAAAGATGAGTGTGGCTCAAACTTTAGGCATGCTATTGTAAAAGAGGGAGCAGTCCAGCGGGGTGAATGGGTGCACAAAAAGGCTCTGCTTCCTGTGTATCAACTCCTGTTTGAGTTGGTAAACAAGGTCCTTCTACCCCGTGCTGAGAGGAGGTCTATCACTTCCAAAATCTGATTTGTATTTGATGGAAGCACTGGATGGGTTCCAATCTGTTAATCTGCCACCCATAATGATTGAGCACATGCAAAAGGTGGCAGCTTTCAAAGATGGAAACCATGGTCTTCCTTATGGATTTCTTCTCACGCATGTCTTCAAGTTCTTTGATGTGCCTTTGGGACAGCCCGAAATGGGGACCAAGAAGCAGACCTTCTCTCAAATTACTTTGGAGGAATGTGAATGTGTCGAAAAGGGTGGAGGGGTAGGAAGTACTTCGACAATCTCCCAGTTTATCAATGCCCAGAATAGTGCTACTGAGGATATTAGGAAGTTGAAGGCAAGGAATGCCATTCTGGAGAATCAGCAGGCTCAAGAGGCACCGGGGTCAAATGCAGAGATTGCTCGTCTGACCAAAGAAAATGCTGATCTCAGGCAACAAGAGGAGAACCTGAAGGAGAAACTGCTCGCAGAGCAAATGTCGGCCAATGCCCGAATTGATCTCGTTCTCAACACTCTTGTCGCACCTTCTAAGCCCTCTCCTTCTAGTGTCCCTTAGGCTAACCCTTCAGTGACCAGTTTCTGGATTATCTCCTTTGTTTTTAATGACTCTATGGCAGTTGTTTTTGTTTTTCTTTTGTGGTGTGGATGGAATTTCCTTGTACTGCTCCTGATGATAACAATCTAAATTTGCCTTTGCTGTAATAGAAAAGACTTATGTTTTATAAAAACTACCCTCTTTTGCTGTTTAATGCTTATGTTTCTCTGCTTCTCTACTCTATCATGTTGTGTCCACATATGTGGCATGAATTAGCTAGGCTAGACTTCTTTATGCTGATTGCTTGCTTGTGTATTTTTAATGATGGCAAAAGGGGGAAGTATAATTGAAACAGGGATCTGATTAAGGGGGAAGCATAAAGTCATGGGGAACTTGTGAAGTTCCTGTTACTTCATCTGGTTTATTTTGCTCTAAATATGTGTTATCAATTTCTAAGTTTGTCATCATCAAAAAGGGGGAAATTAATGGGTTTACAGTACCTTAGCTTTATGTTTTGATGATCTAACAAACTTAATATCAAAGGACCAGATAAGGAACCTGACACACTTGGTACACAACTCAAATCAACGGACTTCAGCTAATGTGAGTTGCTATGACTTCAGAAGATAAAGAATCAACACAGGGACATGATCCCTTTGTGTTTTCCTGACAGCAGTACGAAGTCAACTGTCTACCGCTAGAAAGTGACTGCCTGCACTGTACACGCAAACAGTGCAGCACAGTACTGCAGTCACTCCCCTTTGACTGATCAAGTAATTACATCATTCAAGTATTGTCATCCAAGTTGTATTAACAAGGGGCATTACAACAAAACATCACGTGAACACTTGAGAATTCATTCAAGCACTTTAACCGTTCTTCAGTTGAGCATTCAATTCTCAAGTGCAATCAAGAACAAAATATAACACTACTACGGATCAGTTCCTACAACAAGTATCTTGTATGTCCTTAGTTGAGTTGTAACTTTGTATTAGTTCTTCATTGTAATTCCTATTTTGCTTATCTAGAAGCTTTAATTAGGAACCCCTTATAAAACCATAAACCTTCAGTGTTTGTGTTGTGACTAGAGTTAGTCATGAGTTGAAAGTCTTTGTAATAGGTGTATTGCAAAGTGGCTTGTAATAGGTGTATTACAAGTTAGTGAGGGATTAAGAGTTTAATTCCTAGATTGCATAGGTTGTAATCTAAAAGTTGCTCATAGTGAAGTTGAAATCCTACCAGTGTAGGTCGTGGCTTTTTATTCCCTTGAGCAGGGATTTTTCCACGTAAAAGTTCCCTGTCCCATTTACTTACTGTTTCATGAGAACTATCAGTGGAAACCTATAGAGAACCTGGTCTCTATATAGTTTGGTGACTCATATATTCAATCATTTAAAATAGGAGATATTCTATCATTTAAAATAGGAGGGACTAGTTGAATAGATACTAGTTTTCATCGCTGTACACAAAGCAAGCAATAAGCCATACATGTCTAACTTTTCAACTGCAAAAGCGCAATTACTACCAGCTTATAACAACTAACTAGAAGTAGAAGTAGAAACATATAATAAATAATGGCTATATCAATTGTTTAACATCTTATTCTTCAATTTAGTAGCCAATTCAGCTAGTGCTTTTGTAGAAGAACCATCTTGACTCAGAACTCTAGCTGCTGCATCTTTAAGGTCTCTCATTCTAGTGCGCACTCCTTTTCCTTCTTCACCTTCCATTAATCCTTTCACAACTTTAGCAATTTCCAATCTTCCCACTAGTCCATTTTCATTGGCTTTTGGCCTCAGTGCCACTTTAATATCCTCAGTTAGCACAACCGCGTTCATCTTTTGTTCAGCATATAGTGGCCAAGCTATGAGTGGTACTCCGTGGACCACACTTTCGAGAGTCGAGTTCCATCCGCAATGAGTCAAGAACCCGCCCGTTGAACCATGACTAAGAATTTGAGCTTGTGGGGCCCAATTAGGCACCACTAAACCTAGCCCTTTGGTCCTTTCCAAGAACCCTTTTGGGAGAAATTCAAGAGGGTTAGCTGAATCTTGGACATTAAAATAAGTGGCATTGGCTACACTGTCATTGGGACATCTAATTACCCACAAGAACCTTTGTTCACTCATTTCCAATCCTGATGCAACTTCAATAAGCTGCTCATGAGAGAGGGTCCCACCACTCCCGTACGAGATGTACAAAACAGAGCCAAGTGGCTGTTCATCCAGCCACGTCAGACAACCCGACCCATCAACCTTACTACCCGAATCCATCTGAATAAGTGGTCCAACCGGGTAAACGGGTGGCTTGCCGGGTTCTTCTTCCTGCAAAGCTTTAATGGCTCCTCCTTCCAATTCCTTGAAACTGTTAGCTACTACTCCCTCAGCCATTCTATACCTCTTAGAATGATGAAGAAGCCATTTGTAAGCTTCGTTTTTCCGGTCCTGAACCGGGTCAAGAAGATCCTTGCCATGAATAGGAATACAACCCGGAATCTGAATCGGGTCAGGTAAGTCTCTGTACTCACATGACACGGTTGCATCAAGCTTGGGCAAGTAAAGAAACAGAGACAAAGCCATGGCAGTAGAAGGGAAAAAAATATAAGGGGAAACGTTGAAATCAATGGCAACATTAAATGCATCAGTACCAAAAAGATCAACCACAAAAGCAACAACTTTCTTGGATTCAACAAGTGTTTTAAAAACTTCACGCAGTGAAGGAAGAGAACGCGTAACAGTAAAGGAGATTCTAGTTTCAATTTTAACATCAAGAGGTAAATTATCGAAATTAACAGGAGGAAGAAGGTGATAATCCATGCAAGAGGGAAGAGAACTAAGGAAAATTTTCTGAGAATTAGAGATAGGTCCATCAGTAGGGAGAATAAGAGTGACAGAAAATTGGTGTTGAGAGATTAGTCTCTTAGAAAATTCAACAAGAGGGATTAAGTGACCCATACCAGGACTTGGTAAAATTACGATATGGGGATTTTCTGATTTTGGCACTATAGCAGTTTCCGCCATTGTAATAAGCTTCAAAAAGGAGATGCAGAGAAAATGACGAAGAGAATGATGATGGGAAATAGTAAAATTACGCTGATTTATTTGCGCTTTACTTTTTGATAGCAATAAGATTAGGAGGGAGGGCCTTTATATAGAAAGATGATATCATTGGAACGTGTGGAAGTACAATGACAGCTTTATTTGAATTGTTTTGTAACCCAAATGCAGAGTTATTATAATGTACTAATAATTTAAGCTAGGTAAACTAATAATCGGATTACTTATTTAATTTTTAAATATACAATACAGGGTCAGTTTTGTTTGAAGGGGACTGGTGTTTTCTAGATGAGAAAATTCAAACCTAATGGTGCGGTGCCACAATTGACATTATAAACTTATACAGTGATGTCAAGGCACACGTTAGCCTCATGTCATACATTCTGCTCCTCAATCAAATTTTTTCCTCCTTTGCTTACAAATTTAAATTTTCCCCCACAATTCTCTTCATCAACACTTTTAATAGAAATAGAATAATAATATTTGATGAATTTAATACAAATAGATTATTTGCAGATTGTAAATTAATACTCTCTCATACTGCATGTGATTGGCCTTATAATATGCTACTTAAGAATGATATTTAATACCTTACATATAACAGCATTTGTCTAAATCATACGTTATCACTTTCTTAAATGTGTCACTTAATTAACATTAAATAATGGTGAACTTAAAAAAATTCAAAACATCTATAAGTTTGCCGAAACTACAAAGGATATGGACCAAAGGGAGTAGTTTAGAACATAAAAAGTAATTAAAATTTTATATTATCGTAAGGACTGTAGATGAATTCTTTACCTCAATTATAGATCGTTTGTATAAAGTTTTGCAGGTGTTCTCAATTTGGGACAGAATGCAAAATGAAAGGAAAAGTTTTAAAATGCATAAACGGACACACGAAAGCAAAGTAATTTGTGTTTGAAATTTCAATCTTGAACCTCAACTTCGAAATTAACCTATTTACTACTCCTATATTATAAGCCTGATCATATATTATAATATATTCGATATTTTCATGTTTACACATTTTGTTAATCTTAAATTCATAATTTACATCATTTAAATTATCTAGCATTTTATTGTACAAAATGTTTGGTTACTCTCTTGTCATCACCTTTTAGTTCTCCAGAGTGGTGATAGGGGGAGAAGAAAATAGATACGCAAATCCCCCTATGGTAACAATACATGTACTGATTAATCAATTCCTTGATTAAGAAATTTTTAAAGCTCGTATCAACCAAACAGATTATTTAGATTTGGTGAAACTATTTTACTTCTCTTTTTGCTTACCTTTAATTACATCGTGTTGGACTCGGATTTATTTACCTTGTTTTTATTGTCCAAATAAATAATTTTCGTAAGCATCGTTAAACTAATGCTGGTTAGTGGTTACCAACACAAATTTAATTCATTATCATAATTATCAATAATTGATTTGCAATTAAAATTAGGTCAAGTTAATTATAAATCATAATTCAAGTCAGACATGCTTTAAAATGTACCAGAGGAAAAATCAAAAAGAAGGTGCATCGAATGCGTCCGTACTCCGTAAGGCAGTAACACTGCACTGCTGGCTGAAAAATAGGGTCAAAGCAAGGGGCTGGTCAACTCTTAAATTAAGTAATTGTCCTTCTTGGTTAATTATTTTCGGTTAAATTATGTTAATGTCGTGGCCTCATATATTAGTGGATGTCATCAACCTTAGCTGTATAATATATGGTTAGTTTTTTTTTTTTTTGAAAATTGTTTACCCTAAAAAACGGATAACAATTGAATTTATACACGATTTTAAGGACACGTGATATTTAACTTGGTACAAATTAAGAAGACAGATTAATATTGAAATTTAACTTGCAAACCACACAAAATGAATAGCCTTGGCCTTCGAGTTTGATCACCCTCGAACCAAGAAAAGCCTCTACTGATGTAAGAACAGAATAACAAGGTGATAAGAGCTAGAAATAACAGTATATTGCTTTGTATTGCGTATTTCAATGTGTCTTAAAAATAATCAGAACCCCCTTTTGTATCGTGGGAGTGTTCTACTTTTGGTATAATTCTATACAAGGTAAGAAAAATATCATGATTCGCTAATTAATCGGTCTCTTCTTGATACGTGCCGAGATTTCTGCCATGATCCTCGACCGATTGCGGATATTTCGGCTTTCGGTTATTTCCTCGATCTTGCTCGGTCTCTGACGATTCTCAAAGGCAAGTTCTATAAAGCGGTGGTTAGACCGGCTATGATGTATGGGGCTGAGTGTTGGCCTGTTAAGAACTCACATATCCAAAAGATGAAAGTAGCAGAAATGAGGATGTTGAGGTGGATGTGCGGGCACACTAGGATGGACAAGATTAGAAATGATAATATTCGGGAGAAGGTGCACGCGGCTCCCATTGATGAGAAGATGCGGGAAGCGCGGCTCAGATGGTTCGGGCATGTAATGAGGAGAAGCCCAGATTCTCCAGTAAGGAGGTGTGAGCGGCTGGTTGTGGAGGGCACGAGAAGAGGTAGAGGGCGGCCTAAGAAGTATTGGGGAGAAGTGATCAGGCAGGATATGGCGAAACTTCAGATTTCCGAGGACGTGACACTTGATAGGAAGTTGTGAAGGTCGAGTATTACGGTTGTAGGCTAGGAGGTAGTTGAGTCTCGCGTTACTTTGTACCGTTGTGAGCCTAGTCTGGTAAGGTTTTAGTCTAAAATAACTAGGGGCATTGTCATGTCTTAATACTTTCTCTTTTCGGTGCAAGATCTATTTACTAGCCATCATTTCTGCCTTGTATTTTTCTTCTGCAATTTATGTTCTTATTTTTCCTATGATCTTTATTGTGAAACTAATACTCTCTCCTTTAGTTTTTCTTATTATCTTGAGCCGAGGGTCTTTCCGAAACAGCCTCTCTACGCCTTCGGGGGTAGAGGTAAGGTCTGCGTACATATTACCCTCCCTAGACCCCAGTTGTGGGATTTTACTGGGTTGTTGTTGTTGTTGTTGCTCGGTCTCTGGGTCACGAGCTCGACGATCTAATTTTGCGCTTCGGTTCGATATAACCCGAGCTCGAGCTTTGACCTGCCTTGTTTCAGCATAGACACCGTCACAAACAAAATATTCAGTGCAATAGTTTTTTGCATCTAAGATTTAAAGTAACAAATCTGCAATTAGTTACTATGCTACCAAGATTTGTTTGAGGTCCCAGGTCATGGTATTTGATTTGATCGTTCCTAATCCCTTCAATTTCCATATGCCATGATATCGAAAATATTTAAATTTTTCTGACTTGGGAAACCGAATTAAGAAAAATCAGGAATCTTGTTGCTGAATTATTTTTTTAAATTAAAGGCCGACCGGCCGAATCTTGTGAAGATAAGAGTTTATAATTTGGCCATTAGGTTTGTGCTCAACTTCATGGCGGCTTACAACAACGAACAATAATATATTAAGTTATGTCCGATAGGCCATCTGCTCAAATACATGGCTACTTAAGGGGAAAAATTGCCCTAATTAGACTTTTTGAATTCTACAGCTTGATTCCTCATTAACCAATAAATTTTTCCAAGTACATGACAGCTTATTTTGACGTTCTTATTACATTATTGCTCGAGCATCTTGACCATTTTATTAGCATCTTGACCAGTTTTAGAGTACCTATTCCAACACTTTAAATGAGAATCACCAAAGTTGAAGAAAAAAACAACTGTGATACCAATAAGGTCCAGTTAGAATGATGTAATTCATTTGAGTAAGGTGTCATTTTGTGGAGGTTTAGTGGGCGTTCGAACATAAGAATTGTGAAATTTCGGAAAAAGTGAGAATTTTTATTTTTTTAGTGAAAATAGTCTTAATATTAGAGTTGTGTTTGGACATCAGTACAATTTAGAGTTGTTTCTGAATTTTTGTGAGTGATTTGAAGTGAAAATTTTGTAAACTGCTTTTTGGAGTTTTTCAAAATTTCAAAAATTTCCGAAATTCAACTTCATGTAAAATTCAAAATTTTCATGGTCAAACATTGATTCTGAGAAAAAGAAAAAAAATCGAGAAAAAGCAAAAAAAAAAAATTATGGCCAAACAGGGCGTTAATGTTCTATTAGAAGAGTGATACAAGCAGTAATAGTATTTTCTTTATACCCTTTTCCGTTCTAGGTAGATCTCAAATTGTATCAATTAATTTATCTCCTTGTAGGGGCTACTTAATCTGCCATTTTATATGCCACTAGTTAAATTTGTCTGCGCTTTGCGCGGTTAAAATAAACAATAGTAGATGAAAGATATAATTTTTTTGTCTAAATTTAGTTGAGATAAAAGAGATACAAAATTTATTTATATGCATACATAATTTAATCCTATGAATTGATTATATTGTAAATATAAATTATTTTAATTACAATCCAAGCTCGCAATTTCCTTAATTCAAGCACTATACATGTTACAACTTACAAGAGAGGGGCATCCAAATTATTCTGTGATCAGTAGCATAAATAACATATATCCACTCCACCGCGTCACTTCAACAAATGCTTTATAAATACTTTAAGAAAAAGGATAAAATATGAATGATGATTTACAAAATTAAATGCTTAAAATAAAATTGAATATATAAGGAGAAAGTTTAATAGGCTCACAAGTATTATATTACATTGACAAAAGATGGCGGGAATTAAAACATTGTATAATCTCAAATATATTTAATTTTTTTTAATTTCTTTCAGGATCATTACTCAAAGAACACCCTTCCTCAAACTATATTCTGTTGAGCACTATACTCAAACATTAAAGTGTTTATTATCAATAAAATGATTATATACCATGAAGTCTATACCAATGCAGTAGCTTAGATCATTAGATATATTTAAACAATTTTTATGAAAAGTAATTTTTAATGTCTAGCCTAATTTCTCCCTAGGTAAACATAGGAGGGAACTTCAAGTATTAACGTATTCCCAAAAGACTGCTTTGCTGCTTCTTCAAATATGTCAAACTGACTATTATGTTACATTTTTGTTTCGTTTATTCTTTATTTCCTTTTACTTCTTTTTTTCTACACTTCTCTTATTCTTATTTCTCCTGGGCTTATAACTGCATATCCAATCAGTCTCAAGCCACATAACAAAATCTCTCTTTTTTCTTCCTAATTTGGTGAAATATATCTCTTTTCTCCAAATAAGTGAGAAGTGAGACGGAATTTTATTGACCAAAATGATGATGTTTGATATTGCCCGTAAACATTAGAATATTGTACTCGAGACATATTCTAAACATCCAGAATATATCAAAGAGCTCATGAATGCATATGCTTGTGAACTTGTAAAATGAAAATTAAAATAAATAAATGATATACTTATAAAAAAAAAGATAAACTAAAAAAGCTCAGACTATAGTTTAAAATTATTCTTTTCACATAATTATTAGACATCTTTAAATATATTGAGTTTTAATAATAACTTCCCATTTTTTTTATAAATATTTACTTGACTTTTAATCATTCGTTCTTTATTTTGTATCACTACAAAAATTAATGAAGAGGAAGAAAAAGCGATCATAAGTGATTCGCAATTCTTCTGCAATTGTTTTTTTCCATTCTCATTTCTGTCTTCCATTCCTTATTCTTTTCCTTTAATCTTTTATCTTTCTCTTTGTTTCCCTTTTAATTTCTCGCACCCCTTAAAATTTGCAGCTCTTTTCACGGAATACTGAATCCCACCGAATAACCAAGCAAAATCCTTTTTAACCCCAGATTTCTTTTTTCAAAATTTTCCTAGAGTGTTGATTCTTTCCCCAAATAAATTTTTCTATCAACATCTTATCACCCTCACCTATAAATTCAGCACATAGGGGATTTACAGAGGATACCATTGAAGCCGCTAAATCATAGAGAAAGGAGCAGTTTGTATCACAAAATTAGAACTATTCTCTGAGAATCTGAAATGAATATTGATCACTACATATCCACATCATTTTGCTTTGAGTAAACAGAAAGTGTAAAAAATGAATTAAAAAATTAAGTAAAGCTTTATACATGAAAAAAAAGAAAGAAAAGAGAAAGCCCCACAAGCTAAAATTACAGAGAGATTAGAAAGAGACTATCACAAACATACAAAATACCTTGGCGAAGAGTTTCGTAACCAGAAATTCGTCGTCCTTGAGCTGGAATATTGGAAATTTCTCTATTCATCAATTTTTGCCGACATCTCATTTTTTCGAAGCTTCGTACAATACAAACAATTCATATGCCCTTATATGAGAACGCAACTAATTAGCAGATAAAGATGTAGTTTCTAATCTCGAAAGTTGGTTGATTGAAACGAATAACTCGAATAGAAAACTAAAGAGAAACTACATTGTAAAATCAATTTTATCGTCTCCAATTTATCAAATGGTGAGGCTTTTCAAATTCTGATATGTTTTAGTTTTGGTTAGTCATTATGGATCTTGATGATGAGTAACTGAAATGTTACCAATGTTTTAATTTGGCAGAGACGGTCCCACGGAGGCTATTCTAAGAGAAGTAAAGAAGTGACGTTTGGGTTTTTGCATTTAAAATAAAACAAATAAATGGAAAAAATTAGGGAGAAGAGCAAAAAACCCATAAAAAAGATAAATACCAATGCTGGTATTTGGGATGTGCCACATCAGCTTTTTGATTCCCTCCTTTATATATATACTAGTTTCTCGGCACGTGCGTTGCACGTGTGTATCGAGTTCATTATTGCACGCTATTGCAAACTAACATTAAAATTATGAAAATAAAGTTTTAAGCAAGTATAAGTATACATGAAAGAATATAATATAAATTTTAGTGAATGATCATTGAGAATAGTCTTCAATTGGTCTATTCATCTGAACCTACAAAGATGAACAATCAAAGTGTAATTACATACTTGTGATTTGAATACTTATTTATGAATTTGAGGTTAATAACTTATAACTAAGTGTATCTCACCTAATACTTCCTTGTAGACGATATTACTCGTGTATGTTCCTTCCATCCATTTTGGTTGTTCTGTCATAACCAGCACTCTTGTTGTTGACATTGATATCCCTCTTGAAAGTGCAACGTAAAGTTGTCCATGTGAGAAAACATGTTGTGGTTGATACAATCAAACATTTGGTATTGTTGACCTTATGCTTTATTTATTGTCACGGCAAAACATAAGCGCACAGGGAATTGTTTCCGCACGAATTTGAAAGGATATCCTTCATTTTCAGGTGAACTAAGTTGGATTCTGGAATAAAAACATGTTTCTTAGCAGATTGACCCGTTGTTATTTCGGCATGTATAACATTGTTGTCAAATCCTTTATAGATCATCTTTGTACCATTGCATAAGCCATTTGAAGGGTCCAAATTTCTAAGTAGCATGATGGGCGCATTTTCTTTCAAAACTAACCTATTTATGTAAATATAGATATGTTTAATTTTATTTGTTTTTGTAAATTAATATATACACACACATATATATAGAGTGAAAGAAATAGTTTAAAAGAAACTTCAGTGACATATTAGGTTTGACAATGTACCTATGTGGTGGAAGACCATTTGGTGTTAAAGTGTTGAGGTATTCTTCTTGATAGTAGTTGTTGGTATCATCTTCTGCTGAGTCAAAACTAATAAATATCTTGCTTTCACCAGGAAACTTGGCTATCAACATTTCATTTAGTTGATCTACAAATTCATTTCTACTTGCTAAGATAGCTCTTTCTATTATGAACTGTGCAGACTTGGAATTTTGATGTAGTGATGCAAATATTTCTCTTATCAAGCATTCCTATGGTCTTTCATCACCATTGTGTTTGACAACTATTTGTTCTGGAAGGCGTAATAAGTTATCCTTTACTGTTTGCTCGTCCCCATTACCAACACGAAGTAAGAAATCACTGAAATTTGGATCTGCTCTTGCTCTCATATTAGTTGTGAAATGTATTTTTTCCATTAAAGGCCATAAATAGGATTTCACTAAGCTTGCGTTAACCGTCTCTGCTCTGGTAGATTTTGGAACAACTGGCAATACTTGTCGAAAATCACCTCCAAAGATCCTTACTTTTCCACCAAAAGGTACATTGACATCCATTATATCTCGAAAGCTCCTGTCAACCGTTTCAATTGTTTGACACTTTGCCATGGGTGCCTCATCCCATATTATTAATTTTGCTTATCTTATTAACTTAGCAGCACCACTTTCTTTTGACATTTTTGTCATAGTTGTATCATTTGTTTGAAGAGGTATGTCAAATCTAGAGTGAGCTGTAAGACCTTCTGGTAATATTGCAGCTGCTACACCACTGGTTGCAGTTGCCAAAGCTATCATACCTCTTGATCTAACATTTGCTAGTAATGCACGATATAAGAATGTTTTTCCAGTTCCCCCAGGTCCATCTACAAAAAATAATCTTGTTGTTCCAGAGTCTACACTATATAATATGGTCTTGAAAGCTTGTGCTTGTTCATGATTCAACTTTGATTGTGCCTCATAATCTTCCACGGGTACCTTCATAGACGTTTCTTCAATTATTTCTCTACATTCTGAAGTGATTTTTTGGCATGACTGTTGGTTGATTTTTGGTAAATCATATTTTTCAACACTTTTACCCATACTCTCCAGATAATAATTAACACTTTTTAGTGTAAACTGGAGTTGGGTAGCAGGTGAATTTTCATGCATCCTTCGAAAGTCTTCTGACATATCATCGTAGTATGTTTCCCATAGATTTCTAATATCCGTTGGATTGCAATGAACTAAAACTGTTGCAAATAAACTTCGAAGAGCTGATGGCATTTTGAAGACGACAGCCTCGCATAAACATTCAGAAATGCTATTATCTGATTCTAATAATCCTCTTTGTTTGGCAGCTTCTTTGAATGTTTCACATTTTTTTCCATTAACAGTTAGCAAATCTTCAAATGAAAATGGACCTCTAACGTGGTTAAGTGATAATCTCTCGTAATATCTTTCACCTTCTCGAGGATTAGCTATATTATTTATTTGTAAATGTTAATATGCATAATTTAAGAAGCGAACAATTATTTGAATTTAAGTAATAGTTGTCTTACCAATAGCAATCCGACCAATCACAGATCGTGTTTTCCTTTTTGTCCAAATTTTGGGCTGCGGATTCCAAACATAATGCTCTGGAAATTCTTTGTAAAGATAATTTCGTGCGTCATCGTCTATTGAGCACATCCTGAAATACTCGGTGAGCATAGTATGCTTTACAGTGTCTGAGGCCATCACATTTCTGAGATTTTGCTTCTTCCAATAGTACACTAAAGTATGGTTACAATAGTAGAACATAAATATTAATGTAGTTGTAGGTTAACAAATTGCATTAAATATTGCTATAAGAGTTAATTAATTTTAGTACATGCTTGATTGTCGGGTAGATGTAGTTGAAGGTATAATTGGAGGTTGCATTTCACTTAGATTAAACTCATAAATTCTCCATAGTGCTTCTGGCGGAGAGACCCATCGTGCATCTTGGAAATTTCTAATTTCATCAACTATTTTTTCGCCATCATCCGACTCAATATAAACTGCACACCTATCATGCCCTTTATATATATATTTGTAGAGATATTTTATTGCTTTTACTCCTGAGCAAACTTCTACATTGATATGGCAATAATATCTCATCAACAAATATGGATTATAAGGCACAACCCATTGGTTATTCATATTCATTCCACGAACATTTACTGTTTTTCTATCATTTCTTCTGCTATAAATAGGATATCCATCTTATCCTTGTATTGATTTGTTACTGAATGGTCGTGGATAATGGAATTTACATTGATCATCCTTCATGCATGGGCTTGTGCGACTATTTTCACCGCAAGGTCCATGCATCATATGCCTTATAACTAATTCATTCAAGTGTGGATGTTTGTCCTTGTCAGGCAATTCTGCAGAAATAAATCTATCATACTGATCTGGTGTTGTTATCTTATGACCTTCTTTAAGTATGACCAAAAGGTGTATATGAGGTAAGCCTCTCTTTTGGAATTCAATGACCAAAACATGTGCTGCAAATGGGACCAATATTTCTTGTTGAAAATTTGGTCTTTAAGGTCTTGCTAACTTTGCTACTAAAAACTCTAGTTACTAAGTCTGGTCTAT